CGGCCAGGAGGATGGCATCTGCTCCTGGTGGTCTGATCCATTAGTGGTGAAAGGTTTGCACTTATCCATTAACCCGCTCCTCTCCCCAGGTACCCCTCACGACCACGAACGGAGCTTTGCAAGATAGCTGGGCAGAATGAGGGACATTGTTCCCTGGCTATGGAACAAGCAAGATAAGCTACCAGGATGGCCTAGAAATCAAACTCATGACCCTGGCATTGGTTCCTCTCAATAATCTAAGGCGGGGGGAGAGGTGGATATCACAATAGTGCTCATTCTTTTTTGTTGTTGTCATTTATTTTTTTGTTTTTCTTTTTATTTTTTTGTTTCTGCTTTTCTTCTTCTTAAAAAATTAACACTCATTCTTAAAAAAACATTTTCAAAATTACAATTATGAGGAATCCTGGGGAAGGTCTATAAGATTAACCCAAGGAGCCTTTATACTCAGGGGTATCGCTTTGTACCAAAAACAAACTGTCAATGCCAATATTAAAAATGCAAAAATTAAAAAAAAAATTCCTGCCCCAAAATGTTTGCTGATGCAGCCCACAAAATATTTTATTTTTATGTTATTAAACCAGGCATTTTGGCACCTCCATTTAGGTCATTCCAGAGATGGCACCACCCTGATCCCAAATCTGTTCTCAGAAAAGTCTCTGGGGACCTGGAGAGCCTGGATAAAGTGCACTGGCTCCCTGCCAGGGTGAAGAACAAGATAATATTCTGTCTTTTTAAAAGTTGTTTTTCTGTTCTTTTTTTTCTTCCTTTTTTGGAAGGAAGAAGAATGTTTCTACCTTTCATTGTGCACCAAATCTCTAAAGACCACAAATAAATCCCTAAAAGTACACATATTAATGTTAATGCAATCAGAACAGGAACTGTTAAACACCAGAGCAAGCAATGAAAACGAAAGGATTCCTGCCTTAGATTTTATTAGGATGTGCTTAGCTCTAGGAAAATGCTTATCTTGCTGCTAAGTACCTGTCGGGGAGGAGTGATCTTCAGACTGTGCCCCAAATGTCATGAAGATGACATTTGGAATTAGGATGCTGGGACCAGTGGCAGCACCCAAGGGTTTTCTTGGGGAGGGAGGGGTCTTGAGCCACCAGAATCTCCATGGAGCCATGTATCCAAAAGCCACCCCAAATAAGCATACAATCTAAGGAAAATCAGTGGGCTTGTTATACAAAAGTAGCTTCAAATGGAACCCCCCTGGCCACCCTCTGGGCAGCTAACCATCCTTAAATATCCTAAGTACACATGGTCAAAGTCTCTAACCCACCTCTAACTAAACACTATACCTGTTTTGCATATCATGCTTACAGATAATATTTCCTTCCAACAAGGAAGCCCAGAGGGGAGAAACGAGAGAACCCCTATCCGATAGTAAAAACATCTTTGCACCAGAAATCAGAAGGCCTGGGTTCTGGCCTAGACCCTGCCCTTAGCTATGAGATGGGCAACTAACTGAACCTTCTGCAACTCTATTCTCTACAAAGCAAAATGGTTCAACTATAGGTCATCTCTAATAGCCCTTCCAAATCTAAAATTCCAGAATCTACACCGCCAACTGTTTCAAATGAAGTCAATGACAACTACCTCTTTATGACCAACTATCAGCCCCCAGGGCCCTTTGCTGAGCAGAACTTTCCAAAGGGCTTATATTTAGTTCAGAGACAATGACGTTGAACATAAATGAGGAGACTATTCCAATGAATTTTTTTAATTAAAATTAATCCATGGGATGTTACTTCTTATAATTCATTATTCTGAAATTAATGTCTAAATCAGAACAAAACACCAACACTCTGTCTAGACTGTAATTCAGCTTTCTTTATCTCCCAGAGCTGTTCTTTCCTGGAACTATGGAACATTTTATAAGGCTAGAGAAATAGTAGAAACAGTACTCTCTTGAACAATTCAAGAGATTTTGATTTTTCATTTAGTTGGTAGTGCTGACTTTATCTGTTTTCAAGAAAAGTGTTTTGCTTTTGCTGGAGTAAATATGAGTGACAGGCAAAGAGCAGAATAAGGAAAAACAAACTTTGTTGTTTTTTTTTTACCGTGGCTCTGGTTCTGGCTTGGCTATTAACTAGTTGTGTGGCTTGGTGTACATTACTAAGTCATTCTGAATCTCAGTTTACTCATCTGCAAAATGTAGATAACAACACACCAGTCCACCTTACTCTCCCCTTAGTAAGGAGTTAAATGGATACTGGGCAGAGGCG